AAACATGCCTTTTGTGTGCTACCTTTGTGTTATTGGGCGTCGGCGCAATTCTCTGCTCAGCTGTTCAGGAGACAAAATAGATAATAGTTAAATGAATGGAATAGGCATTTGAGTTTCTATAATATATATATATATATGTAGTTGTTGTTTTGTTTGTATAAAATTATCTATAATTGAATTATGTATTAAACAGACGAATATACACATATAATTAGAATATTTATTAACGTGTTAATTGTTAAGTTACACATGTAATTGTATTAATGTGTGTTCCTTACTTAAAAATGATTATGTTTTAATCAACACAAAAATATTGTTTATTATATGTTGGAACTAATGGATTTGGTGTTTCTTTGTGTTTTGCATTTGTTTTGTGTTGATGGTTTGGGGTTATTTTGAGATTAGGTTGATGTTATTTTGTTTTTTAGAATGGGGTTATGTTTATTTGTTTATATATGTTAGGAAATTTGGTTTGTTATATTTTGAGTTAATTGATCATTTGTTATAATTATTATTTTATATTTAATATTGCATGCATTTTAATTTGAATATATGTTTTGAATTTATTTCCTTCTGTATATACCCGAATTGAAAGTGAATTGGAAATGTAAAAATGTTATTATATTGTATTTTATCATGGTTTATTGTTTTTTGAATTGTTTTTAGATTGATTAAACATATATATATATATATGAATAGAACAATTATATATTGATATTTGTTTATTTGTAATTATTAAAATATAATTTGTTCGATGTGTTTTGGGATATGTGTTTGTTTTATTTATGGTTGTTTTATTGAATATGGTTTTGTTTAAAAATGTATTGTGATATGGGTGGGTAAGATATGTTTTAGTATTTTGTATTGAATTTAAAGATTAAATTGACTATTGGACTTTGGAATTGTTGGATTGTTTGGTTTTTCTATTGGTATTGAAAATATAGAATATTATGTGAATAGGTAGATATTTGCTAGATTTGTTTGAATTATAATGAAGTTTCCCAATTTTGGGAATATGTTATACTATTTTTTTAAAAAGAAGATGTATAATTTAATTTTGGCATTCGTATTATGATTGTGTTTTTTCAAATAGAGAAAATGAGTTTATTTGTATATATTTATTTGATAAAGTTTGGGAAGAATTGAAAGGATTGCATTTATTTGTTTTTATTACATTCGGTTAGGATTGTTTGATGTAAATAAATAAATCATATATTTATTGATTTTTTGTTTTAGAGGATTTTGCCGGTGGAAGGAATATAGATTTGGCTTAGAGTAGCCCGACAATATATATTGTTTGAAAACCACAGGCTCGTTGGGAAAATGTTTTTCCTCGGATCCCTAACCATTTAAACCTACGAACAATTTTACAAATTTAAGGAATTATTTTGCTGGGAACCGATACTTGGATGTCAGCTTCCCTTGAACAAATTCAAAACTCTGGGCTTCTCCCGACTCGAGCACTGGCTCGGCCCTAAATTTCTAATGTCTTTAGTAATATATAGTATATACAAATTCTTGGGTGGTTCATTTGCCTTAAGCTCGGACCCATATTTCATTGGACCGGTCGGAAATTTTGTGCTATCTCTCTTTTTCTATTTCTCTCGGCCTTTCTATCTTTTTGTCTCTCTGTCTCTCTGTTTCTCTGCCTCTCTATCTTTTTGTCTCTCTGTCGCTCTGTCTCTCTGTCTCTTTGTCTCTTTGTCTCTCTGTCTCTCTGTCTCTTTGTCTCTCTGTCTCTCTCTCTCTCTCTGTCCCTCTGTCTCTCTGCCTTTTTGTCCTGTCTTTTTGTCTCTTGGTCTCTGTCTCTGTTTGTCTCTTTGTCTCTGTGTGTGTCTGTGTGTGCCTCTGTGTCTTTGTCTCTTTGTTTGCTTCTGTGTCTCTGTGTCTCTGTCTCTTTGTGTTTGTGTTCTCTGTCTCTGTTTTTTTTGGTTTTTTGTCTTCCCTGTCTCTCTTTCTTTCAATCTCCCTCTTATCTCTTTCTCGTTAAAAAACGGAGTCAGAGTTGTTAAAAGTGCTGCAATGTTCTTCTTGGCCTCCACAAAAAGGGGTTTTTAGGAGTGAGTTTCCCAAACCAAGCGGAAAACCATACCTATCAAAAACAAATATTTATGTTGATTGAGGGCGGGGTTCCGGGCCATTTGCTCTTGGCTCGTTCTGAATCATAGACAAAGTTTATATTTTTTCCTTTGCCAGGTTCAATTAGAGTTGGTAGGGTCGTCTTTGTTCACCTCATCACGGTCACCATCTAAAATGGGTTCTTAATGGGGTTAAGATTAAGATCTAATACCCGAATTAGGTCAAGACACCGTAGGATTTAAATTTAGGATGTTTTATCCTCAGGATCGTAGTAAGGCCTATGAAAATACAAGTTTCTTTTTCCAAATTGACATCCTTTCCTCCCTGGTTGTTGTGCGTATTTCTGTTTGTTTTTACTAGTTTCTGATTGCTTTTGCTTACTTCTGCTTGCTCCTGCTCTTACTTGCTCTTGCTTGCTCATGTATTTCTGCTTGTTTTTGCTTGCTTCTGCTTATTTGCCTTACATTGCGTTGCCTCTGCCTGCTTGTCTCTGCCTGCTTGCCTCTGCCTGCTTGCCTCTGCCTGTCTACCTGCCTTGCCTACTTTTGTTTGCCTTGCCTGCTTTGTTGTCCTGTCTGCCTACTTTGCTACTTTGCCTACTTTGCGACTTTGCCTTGCCTGCCTGCCTTCCTGCCTGGTCCTGCTACCTGGCCTTGCGATGGGCCGTTATGTCGCATTTGGCATGCACCGCGCAGCCTTTTTTGTGGTACTTCGGCCGAATCGTTGTGCTTGCGGCGAACAGCTACGCCTGTCCCGGTTTTTCTTCATGGCACAAGCTCCTGCCTCTTAGCGCGGCCCGGAAATCCCCGAAATTTTGTTGAAATTTTGGTTCTTCAGATCTTCGCTTACAGTTCTCGCGGCATAACCTGGCCAAATGTTTAACACTTTTGGGTCGCTTCCGGCCACCCGGCTCTCAGATCTGCAGACGTTACCCCCGCAAATTTCTTTAGAATTTGACGGCTTATCGAAAAAATAACAAGTCAAATTGCGGGAAATTTGGGAACCTGCCCGAATCGAAATTTCTTCCAATTTTCGTGCCTTCCCCCTTTCGCTCTTTCCTTTAGTCCCTCTTTCTCTCTTTCTTTCTCTCTGTGGCTCTGTCTCCTCTTCTCTCTGTCTCTTTGTCTCTCTGTCTTTCGGTCTCTCTGCCTCTTGGATTTTTGTTGTCTCTCTTTCTTTCTCTCCCTGTCTCTCTGTGTTTTTGTGGTCTCTGTGTCTCTGTGTCTCTTTCTCTCTCTCTCTCTCTCTCTTTTTGTCTGTCTGTCTATCTATCTCTGTCTCTCTGCCTGTCTGTTCGTTTGTCTCTTTGCCTCTGTTTGCTTGTTTGTTTTTGTTTGCGCAAACAAGCTTTCAAAACCACTTCTGGGGGCGGTCTTCCTTTAAGCCGCCGCCCAGCGGGCAATTTTGAGGACGTCGCTTCAACGGACCCAGATTTTCCGAAACCGCTTGAGTTCGGAGCCTGCCAAGCATATCTAAGGTTGTTGGAATCCTGCTTTGTAACCCAAAGAAGGTCAACGAACGGAAACGTCTTCTTTTTTGTCTGGAGTTGCTCAGAGGTACAGGCTCAGGGGTATTGGTCCGACGTTATATTTGCGCGACCAATGCACAGTGTGGTTTGCGCCCCCGCGCTGTCCATGCAACGCGCATCAGGGCCAACTGCGCAAGTCTCAAGCATGCAATGTGCCGCTGGGCTTCCTTTTAGCAAAAAGCAGCGAGCATTTTTTTGGGAGGAAAGTCGGAGTGCTCTTTGTTTGCTTGGTTGTCGGCTCACGTGGTTGCACTTTTCCAGATCTCTCTAAAAACCCAGCTTTCAAACAGCAGGTTGGCGATAGCTGCTGCTGTTTTTCCGGTGTGATTCGTATTTCTAAAATGACAAGCTGGGACTGCGCAAGCGCAAGGACAAAAACATGTCCGGCGCGCTCGCGTATCTGGAAGGAAATGTTAGCGAGCGCGATGGGCGCAAAAATGCGCGCGTTCTGTCTGAGCAGGACTCTGATGGGAGGTAAGTGCCATTTCAACGCAGATCCTGGCCAGCCATGTTACCTTGCTGAGTGCGTCGAACTGAAAGGCAGCAGGAGCAGACCGAAGTGGTTTGAAGACCGCAAATTTGCACGAGAAGGAACCGGGTTCAGCTGGTTCAAGGTTGTTTTTTTAGGCAAGAAGTGTGTCGTGGATGACGCACGCGTATCCTCTAGAAGAAAAACATGTGTAATGACCTGCATTTAAGGTGCTTGATACCGACAATACACAGCCAGCGTTCATTGTTGAAGGGCGGTGACTTGAGGGCGACTGAGAACAGTTGGAAAGTTGTGCTGCGATGAGCAGGAACGTCTGAAGCTTGCATTTTTGTAGGAAACAATGATAATTTGCAAGCTTTTTGCGCGGATGCGAAGCAAGAGAATCGCAAACCCAAGCGCAGTGTGCCGCGCAGTGCGCTTTGTGCACACCTGCGCTGTCCATGCGACCTTCTTGTCGGGCCGCGCGCCGCTTGCTGCGCGATGCGATGCAGTTCGCTGTGTTTACTCCGCGGTGAGCCAAAGATTCTTTCTGCTTTATGACAACACGCTGCAACACATTTTGCGCAACAACGCATTTTGCACTTGCGCAACATCGAACGTGTTGCAGCTACTGATTCTTGCTTGACTGGCTTTCAAAAAACTTGGGGGAAACCAAAACAACAAAAACAACGAGAAAATGAACACAACAAACAAAAGAAAACCAAACAACATTTGGCAACAACATTTGTGGGGGGGGGGTTCTCTTGGATTTTACAGATTGTTTTTGTGTTCTACCCGCGCTATTGATGGCACACACGTTTTACATGAAACAACACGTTTTTTAAGAGGCGCATTTTCGTTTCAAGATGTGTAGTTTCCAAAAGGGATGCTTTGCAGGCAACAAATGCACTCAGGTGCAAAAAATGTAGAATTGGGCGAAAAGTATGTTACTGGATTCCTCACGCAACTTAGCACGTTGAATTGCGCTGACTTGTAGCAGTTGCAGCCGCCGCTCCTCAGAACCAGCCGGTGCGGATTGAGCTCTCTGCCATGTCCGCTGATCGAGCAGAACCCCAAGCCTTCACTAAGGCAATATTTTTGCATTGTCAGAACAGTGTTGATTTTTTGGGTAGTTGTGAAAATTATGCCCCAACAAGGGTTATACGAGCAACTAACCGCACAGCTTCGTCGGCTTTTCAGTATGCTTTCGCCGGAATGCCGATTTGAACAGCAGCACTTCGGCGTTGTTTTTTTGTTTGGACGTGACAGACTTGCCCCATTTTGAGGCAACTTTCATCGATTGCTTTTGCATGCTTATACAGCGACAGAACCGCATGTCTTTTTTTTCAAATGGTTGGCTGGCTGGCATGTTTCTCCGACAGTCTGGGACAGTCAGTCATGGGGCACATTTTGACCCCGCTGCTGCAAGGTTGTGGATTCCATCTCCGAACTCGCCTGGTTCCTATGCCAGGCTCAGACTCGAATCTTTGTCTGAGCGCCACACGATAGACATGCCACAGGAAGTGCTGCGTGCTTGGACGGTGCAGCAACGGCATCCAGCGCTGGAGGTGGCGTGTATTGCTCTCATCCTGCCACTGACAAAAATTGCAGGATGTGTCTTGCTTCCGCGCTACCTGCTGGTGGGCAGAGTCGTCGGCGCACGCAAAGGAGAGCCGGTGAAGGTAAACAACAAACTAGCTCAAACGCATTGCAGCATGAGCAAGAGACTGTTGCCTTGTCTAGGGTCTCACAGGCAAGGCATAGACTTTTGGAGTTCATGTGCGGGTTTGCACCGAGCTTGGCTGCTTCGCAGAGCTTGATTGTCCCAGCACGCAGGAGAGAGGCCACACATATTTTGAGAGTGGTGCGGTGGATGAAGTCTCGCCCTGCCGATTGGAGTGCCGCGAATGTGGGTCAATTCGCACTCATCGTGCAGAGCTCTGGAACCCCACCGAGGCAGGAAGTGCCAGTCCTTGTCAGAAATCGGAAGTTGCATAGCCATGCAGCGACAGACTGACATGGCTCTTCAAATTCTCTGCGGAGATGATTCCTGAGGCAAAGGGGCACACGGACTTTGGCAAGATGAACCCTGTGGCTGCACGGAGGTGGCATCAGAATGCGAAGGGTTTTGTATCTTGGCACAATCATGTTGGCGAGAACCTCACATGCAATGGTAGCATTGAATGCTTTGTGTGCCGTGTAATTCTGATGGCCTTGCAAGTGCTAGTATCATGATCACAGGGTGAGGTGAGCAGGAAGGACAATTGCCAACATTCAAGTGCACAACTAGAGTTCAAACAATTTTACCGGGCTCAACTGCAGCAAGTGCGCAGAAGGCCTGGCCCCTTCGCGTTTGCACTCACCTCTTGCAGTTGATGACTTGACCAGCTGCAGGGAGCGTGTGGAGGCTGTCTCCAAAAAATGGCGAGGGATTTCCCTCAAATCAGAATGCAACAATCAGTTGTTATATGTTTCTTGGTAGGTGGCAGTCTTGGATCTTTAATCAGCAAAGATAGAATTGAGTTGATTGGCATGAATCCATGATTAGCATGCCAAAGTTGTTTTGTGTCTGTAAATTGCTTGTGTATTGTACCATTCCATTGTTCTTTAATTTTTTGCAATAATAACATGAATGGTCATAGTCATACTGATGTTATTGGAAATAGGAGGATGTGGCCGGCAAAAGTGGCCCATTTGGCTTGATTCAGGCAACGGTTCATTGTTTTGCTGCATGAAGGCTCTGCCAACCGCGCTGTGCATCAGGATGGTGACACAGCTGAAGGCCGAGATGAGGCCTGGCCTTTCTTGGAGCATATGAGATTTGTGCACGCGTGGTCTTTGTTGTGTACGGAGTGGCAGGATAGAGATGAGATTGGTACAAGCAGTACCGTCAAGTGGTCTTTCAGTCGCTCAGGGAGGCAAACAACAATGGAGCCACAGGACCGATTGCTTTACAGCAAAGGGCTGAGAGAGTTTCACCTGTGCGCATGCGGCAGGAATGACAGTAGTCCAGATCAAGCCCACGCTTCGGAATGTGCGGACCCAGCAAGAGTGGGTCGCGCTGCAAGAGGATCTGCCGCCAGCTCAGTTTTGTCTCGAATCTTGTTTTGTGTGCTCTATTCTACCTCCAATTTGCGGTTTCAGATCTGTGTTTCCCACATGAATGCATGGTCGCGTAATATTCAGACTTTTATGGCACTCAGGAACACAGCTTTCCAAAAGCACATATATCCCTTCTACAAGGGCACGCAAGAGTTGATCAGCTTCGGGAGGATTCGATTTGTCCAGTGGCACTGGAACAATCTCAGCCCCAGCCCAAGACCAATTGTGCACATTGGATTCTCACATGTCATAACACGCAACATCTGGATGGCAGAGGCCGCGAGCTGGAGAACGGCACCAGACATGGCCATCATGTCATCATTGCTTCGGTGCCCACTTTTCACCATGACGGAGTGGAACAAGTCATCAAGGAGTTTACACAAGCTGAGAAGAAAGCAGCAGGGCATGGCGGCGGCGCCGCCTTCTCAGTCGCTATCGCTGAGGTTGAGTCGCTTGCTACAGAAGCATTGAACCTGAAACTAAGTGCACAGCAGCAACCGTTGTTTGCCGGCCTTGCGATGCTCTGTGACCAGATTGAGGTACACCAAGTTTGGCTGAACAGCAAGTGTTGGTATTAATTGAGGGCAGGCATTGGCTAAGAGCCAGTCATTCACAATTGCGACTTGTAGCTTTGCATCCACAAGTGATGCTTCCGCCGCATCCTTGTTGGGAAGGCACGGATGCACAGTAGGCATTATGTATTTTAAGTGGCCATTGCGTACCTTGCAATGCAGCTCGATTGTGTGGTTTGTAACTTCAGCTCTGTACCGACTGCAGTTGCACGTGCAATCGAGATTGCTCAAGGAAAAGGTGCATGCTGCATCTAGCTGGATGAAGGGTGGTAAACGTGACCACCAGCCATTCCCATCCATTGGGTTGGTTCGAACTCGTGCATTGCCCAAAAAACAGGTTTGGATCAGGCGTTTCCATGGATTGCCTTCCTAGTTTTTATCGCCAAGAGATGAGGCGATGCCAAAGAAGGTTACATGCTACTCTTGGCCGCTCTGCGTCAGTTGGAGCGCGTGTAAGATCTGGCTGAAGCCTTGCCATGAATAAGATATCGAGTTGCGCAACTGCTGCTCCAAGCGCGTGGTTCGTATACTTCGTGCGAAGTTAGTCCAGCTGCCCTATTGCACATATGTTGCAACTTACCTTTCTGCTTCTTTGCTCAACCTGAGTAGCAAAACTGTTGCTGCCCCCACGCACTGCCATCATGTCAGGCGGTCCCATGTGGTGTCAGCAAAATACATCTTTTGGTGCTGTATGCAAAGCTGTTCTGCCCTGAAACAGTGGAAGCCTCAGCTGGACCCTACGTTAGCCGTTTAAGCTGCACGGAAGCCAAACGCAAAGGACGCAGAAGCTATGGCTCTGTCGCCTTCCGAATAGCTATCACATTGCAATACTCATATTGTTCATTGCATAATTTGCTAGTTACACAAAGCCAGACATCCCACATTTGTTGTTCTGGGGTTCTCAGGTGAATCTTTTTTTTGTCAGTTGCGGCTACCAAGGCCACTCTACATGCAGCATTCTGCGTCAGAATGAGAGCGCCAATGTCCATCGCCAGGCAAACTTCTCTTTTGCAGGATAAGTAGTTCTTCCCAACTTCAAACAAAACTGAGCTCGCACAGGTGTCATGTTGACAGTTCAGCAAGTTGTAGCTGACTGCAAAGTAAGCGGCTCGATTACATTCAGTTTTGTAGGGCCGCTTTCTCCTTAAGCCTTGATCTGCACATTCCCCTAGCAGCCTTCCCAGCGAGGCAATCGCCGGATGAAGTAGCATGCTGCAGTGGCTAGCAAGTTTATGTGGGATCGGGCTTGTGTGTGTGTGTGTCAAACCATGCGTGCTCTCTGCAGAATTTGGTGCAAGTGCATTTGCCAGTAGGCCAATGGCAAGGTGGTCATGGTTCGGAAAAGGCAGATGGCAGGCCTATTCCGAAGCTACAAGCAGGACTTCATCATAGAGAAAGCACAGCTTGTTATCGCTTCTAGTGAATGGCGCTGCTTTCGCGGTTGGTGGTTGCCAGGATACTTGAGGACGCGCACCAAGAGGGCCATTCAAGTGTCCGTATCTCGCTGAAGCATGATGACTACAATGTCGATCTTCAGACAATGCAGCAGGCGCGGCTATCTGATCTGAGTCGGCGGATTTGCATGCTTGTGATTTGGACTAGTGCTTAGCAAGCCTCCTCAAGCCACTTATTGCATGGTTAGGAAAGATATCATGTACTCCCTCGTGGCTTTCGTGTGACTGTGCGTGTTGCGAGTTTACACATGCAAATGAGCCAGCTGTTTGGCAGTCAATCATTTGCAGGGGGTGCACTACCAGGCACTTTCGGGTTGGCGGTGAGGGAAACTAAGGGAGCCCTCAACACTTTGGGGACACCCTTATTGAGACCCAACCATGTGGCCCTGGAAGTGGTTTGAGCTGGCAGGCCAGCGCTACACAGCCCAGCAAGTCACGGTCCGTTCGGCGAGAGGACACCGAGGCCGGGTCCGGGTTTTGGGCATGGAGCTGCCTGGAAAGCTCTGGACTTGGGCTCTGCCAAGGTGTCCAGCCAGGCATCGACTTCCGGCAGATCAAGCTTCACCTTGTCAAACTTGACCAGATCCCTATCTGAGGCCTCGCTCGATTGGGCGGCTCGGCGATACTGGATGCTGAGCTTTGCGTTTGCAGGGTGTGGGCTGATTGGGCTGAAGGTGTCATTTTGTTAGACTGTGAATTGATTCAATCAAGAATCAATATGAGAAGAAAAGCAACACCCCAAACTCAATCTGGGAAATGAGGGAACACTGCGCTTGGCACGCAACTAGTCCATGAAGGGTCTGGGCGTTGCATGACTCTTCCACATCTTGGTCGGCGACTATGGAATCAGGCCACGCTTGCCCAGTTTTTGGTGACTTGCACAGCTTGCACGTAAGCAGGACATCATTTTGAGCAAGCCAAGTGGCGTTGTTTGCATGCTCCAGAGACATGCCTACATCAAGTGGTCAAGGAACGGCGCGAGGAACCCAGCTTTTCGCAAAAGACACGTCACCACCGCACTTTTTGCATTTGTTTTTCCAGCGGCCAAAAGCCATTCCTAGCTTCAAGGTGCAAAAGCAACGCTTTGAATATCAAAGGCGCAGAGGCCCTGCTGCACTGTGGCTTCGGGCGATGAGCAGCTTTGCAGCAACGGCTTTCTCTCAACAAGAATGCGACATGCGCTTATTATTCTCAGGGTTCAAGGCCCCAGGCGGCACACACACACACACAAAAACGTAGTGCGAATCAATCAACTGAAGCCGCCGAGAAACATGGGACGAGAGTGTGGCTTTTGCCGTGCAGCCGACATTTTGCGGGTGTAATTGGTTCGTATTGGTAACGCGCAAGCGCAAAGCGCCGTTCGTGAGCACGTTTGCAGCCGAGAACTGCCAGTAGTGGTGAGCGCACCGGATGAAAAAAAAGCTCGCGTAACATTCAGTCCAGAAAAGGGCATCTTGGCGTCATCTCTCGCATGGGCATTTGAGATCAAGTAGGAAAATGGTCGCTGAGCGTACCGTGCAACCGATATCTATGGGTGTTGTTGTCAATTCATGCATATTTCTGGGCCTGCGGCCTCTAGCCGGCTACGCCTCTTGAAGTTATACCATGTCATGTCATGTTTTTTGTATGAGAAACGTTTCCTGTGCTATGTTATAGCTGGTTAGGCTTTGCATGCTGCCCACCCCAACCCCAGATGATGCCGGGGATGCCAGCTTTCTGGGCCGCTGGGGCCCCAACCCAGAAGGCGGACATGGGGTCGCCCCAGAAACAGTAGCCCAAGAAGAACAGCCCGCAAACCAGCCCAAAAACGCAAACGCAAGAAAACACCGCACATAGCAGCGTTTTTGTGGCTGGGGTCGCGCGCGTGCGCGCGCGCCAGAAGGCCCGAAAACCAACGGGAAAAAAGCAAGGACAGCGCAGCGCGCGAGCCAGCCACAGCAAGAGCAAAACGGACAGAACAACAGCCCAACGCTCAGCGCAGCAGTTTTTGGCGGATTTACAGCGTTTTGGAGAGCGAGGACCCAGCATCGCCGGCATGCCCGGCAGCGCTTGGCGCCAAAATGCGCAAAAATGAGCCTCGCTTATATTCCTCCGATACCTTCTAAAAAACAGTGCTTCATGGGTTGAGAGGCTTTTTGGAAGGAAGTCTTGATGATGCAGACCAAGCCACGCTGAAGCATCACCCAGGCCCAACCCCAGACCCTGACGATGTCAGCCACATGGCCTAAACCCTGCATATACGCGATGTTTTGTGAGGTTCCCACAGGCAAGCAAAACAGCAAGCCCGAGCTGCCGGATTTAGGCAGCGCATCACGACCAAGTGGCGCGGGTCGGCGGCACCAGGGTGCACCCCCTATAGCTAAAAATCCTTGTTCATTCCACAGGGGGGTCTGTTCATTTGGGGTGGAAAGTCTGAAATTTTGAGCTGTGAAGCATATAGGTCGCTATGTGTGTAGATGAGGAGCCATGTTGAAGCCTATGGAGCTCAAAAAACACCACTCTTCCACCAGTGTGGCACTTGGCATCCAAGTGACACTGCTGTTGGAAGCATAAGTAACTTTAAGGGTATGACCAAAGACCTTTTGGGGGGGCCATATAAAGTACTCTTTCTAGTTGGTCGTGCGAACAGCTTGCTTATGCAAGGTTACCCTAATGTGAACGCAAAGCTTACAAAGTCGGAGAATGAGAGAAAATGTCAGGAGGTGTTCTAACATGGTTTCACATTGCTGCTGGCCGCTGGCTGCCAGCTGCTGGCTCAATCAGCAGCACCTGAGCCTGCACCTTGGTGGCAAGCCAGTCACAATTTAGGCAAGGCAATTCTTCTGATATCTGTGCGACATGTGCATGACTGCCCTGGCTCAGGAGCACACCTTGTCAGAGGTTACTGGGCTGCAGCCTGCCTGCAATCAAAAGGTTTGCAACAACTGACCAGGTGGTCACACTTACTGGCGCTTTCAGAGTGGAGAAGTACACATTCCTCAAAAAGTATTGTGCCACATGTCCATTTTCAAAGTGCACCCCAACCCAATGCATGCCACTTGGTGGTTTGCGACGAACTGCCTTTAGGGTGGTGCCAATAGGTTTGCCCAACACACACCCTCACCCCATGAAACTTTTCAGGTGCAACCTTGGCCCATTCCTGAGTTTCTGCAACTTGCTGGTACCCAAAAGCCGGTTGGAGAATCAATGAATCAACCATGAATCACACAGGGGGCCAACAGACTTCCTGTTTCTTGGGCAACATCTACCATGCAACAAACATGTTTGCAGTGCACGTTTTGCGACGTGGCGTGAACACACAGCCCCAGTTTATTTTTGTGGTTTGACATTCTGTGACATCACTTGGTACCAAGTAATGTCACAGAATGTAAATAACAAAAAGAACCCCAAGCCCTTCAACAAGGCCAAGGTCATGCCAGCTGTTTACCCAGTCTACTCTAGAAAGCAATGGCCCCCCTTGGTCAAACATACCTGCATCCCTTAACATTGGCATCCAAAGGTAGGGCCCTAAACCTTGATGACACTGAGCAGGCAGTGTAAAGTTTTGCAAGCATTTAGAGTAAGGTGTGGCTCAACCAGCAGCAGATCTTGCCAACAGGCTTGAAAGGGTTCATTGGCACTGACAGCCTAGCAGGCAATGGAGTTGGGCATGAAAAATAATCCATGTAATATTATGAAAGTTCATGCAGAAGCATCCAACAGACAACCTTGGATCAATCACACCAGAGGGATCACTTCACCTGCCACCCCTTTACACTGAAATTGCTCTCCAAATGCGGTGCATCTTAATTCTGAGGACCCTGGCCCTCCATCAGCTGCCTCCAAACAGTCAGCTGCTTGGTACAAATGGCGCCCACAGGCATGGTGAATATTTGCTTGAAACCATACAACATAGCATTCTCAGACATGCACGGATGTCAGTGAATGGGTTCAACATGTTTGTCTATGTGTGTGACACTGTATATAACCCTTGTCAACTATGTGCCATGTTGAAAATGCATCCCACCATGTTGCCATGCTGTGAGCAGCCTGTGTTCAAGCCACCACACAGACAGAGACAAGGAATGCGAGTTCCTCAATCCATGCTATTTGAAGCAGACGTCTTTCCTAAGCCCCAAGGCCTTTGAATAGGGCCTAAGCTTGTGGTGATACACCCACATGTGTATTCCCCAAACCAAACCTCAAAGCCAGTCCCTCTGAGGCAAGCTCCTGGCGCTGGCTGCAGCTGCCGTCCACAGCAGCCCCTTGCCTGCAGAGCAATTCAGGGCTGGGGCTAGGGCATCGTAGATTGTCACAAACAAGCTTCCAGTTTGGAAACCAAATGGTTGAGCAAACTTTACAGGGGTTTGCAGAAACTCACACCAATGGGCCAAGCACCCCTGGAAGCAAGCATTTTTCTACTGTGCTGCGATATTATTCTTGCAAGAGGACTACTTGAATTGGGCCATCATTGGCCACGCAACCTCTGCAAGCTCTGGGTAGTAGTGATTCCCAGTGAACACCACATTGGCACTCTGCTGTGTTCCAGGCACATCCAGCCAAGGGATGGGCCTGAGCTCAGACTTGCACTGGTCCCTGGCAAGCTCCCGCAAAGCTTGTGGACCACGCTGGTAGTTGTAGGGCTCCTTTTCCAGCAGGGCTGCCAGTGCGATATATTTTTTCTTCTTGTCCTCAGCGATGTCATTGGGGGGCAGCGTTGGTACTTGGCTGAAAGCACCAACTCTGCTTGCGCGGTCCCAAGGCAAGGTCAAGACAGGCGGCTTTGCCTGGTCATGGCCATGGTGCATTCTTGCCTTGATGATGGCAAAAACATCTTGCGCGTGGCCTTGTGCTGTGGAGGCAGGCAGCCGCTCCCGCTCAGATGCGCTCAGGTCCTCACGCCTCTTGTAGGTGAAGGAGTGCGCAGGGATGGCGCATTGTTCTTGCGGTTGCTTCTTTCTGGACCGGAACGTGTTCATCAAGCGCACTCCTGTGACATCCATCCAGCCTGTGAAGTCATGGATGGCCGTCATGGTTTCAACCTGCAGCTGCTCTTGGCAGTTCTCAGCCCGGACCTGAAGCTCTTTCTGCAGGAGTTGTTGCATGTCTTCGAGGCATTCGAAGTGGTTGCGTCTCAAGATTGGCAGCAGCTCCCCGAAGAAGTGATCAACATCCTCATGCGTGTGACCTTTGGTCAAGTAGGAGCACGTAACTGTGCTCATTTGGCGGCGCCCAACCAGCAAAGCACAGTACAAGTGGGAACTGGAGTTCTTCGATTGGGCTGTTGTGTTATCCGATTGCAGCCACAGATGGGCAGGGAGCTCCCCCGTCGTGGTTGCAATCGAGTCTAGTGTGCGGGACACCACCTCCAGGTAGGCGTCAGCACCATGCCTCAAATGATCATCTTGCAAGAAGACCCCAGTCCGCCATCCATGGCAAAGGCAGGCCGTCAAGACCTGAAGCAGAGCGCCGGTCCAAATTTAAGGGGAGTTGAAAGTTGACTGTGAAACACAAGCACAGAAGCACACCCATGTGTTACTGAGCTCTGCGCCAGCTTTGGCCGCAGAAGCTGGTCAAAAGCGTGCGGCAGTCTGCCCAATTTGTAGTCAAGCTTGGGGTACGCCATCTTGGTCTTGTCAAAACTGTCCACTATAATCGTGATGATGTTCATCTTCGAGCGGCTCGCAAAGCGCATGGACCAATAAAGTTGTCTATCGTGATATTGATCACGGAGGTGTTGGCGCCATGCAGTCGCCAAGTGAATCTTGTCGTTGACTGACATGTTCTTGCCATAGAGGCACATGCGTGCATGGGCACAAACATCGCATTCTGCATGCTGGCTTTGTTTTCTGAAGGCCAGCAATGTCCTGCTTTTGCCATGCCAATATGTGTTCCAAACACGCCAGAAGGTTGCCCAGCTGGGGACATTCTTCTCATCACCTCGCTTCGAAGATTTGCGAACACTCTTCAGATCCTCAGTTCGTTCCTGCACCTCATGCGACTCACTCCATGCCAGGAACTGGTACCACAGGTCACTGAGCTTGCCTGGCGGTAGCATGCGACATGGAGGTGGCTTTTGGCCACTATCTGTGATGAGCAGAGCAGTCAGGCGTGCAGGAACTTCAGTTTGCAGGTTCCAGACAAAGTGCTTCTTGA